CCCCCCCCCCGGAAGTGGGCATAAGATGCCGAACACCCTTTGCACGATGCAGCGCACCCTCCATTCGACTCGCCGAACACCTCACGGCGCTTCGCGCGTGGTGATGTGAGAGGCTGGTCCGGTGAGAACCCGGCGTGCTCCGTCCCGGCTCTGTAGGGATGCGCGGTCAATGGTCTAACGACTACGGCATGCACGATACCCCACCCAACTGCACGTCCCGCTCTGGTCCCTGGGTATAATGCACGACGAAGGAGTTGGCGAGGAACCCGGCTGCCTTCCGCGCCAAGGAGAGACGGCTGGTGGGGGTGCTGAAAGACCTGGACGTAAAGCTGGAGCGCCTCAAGAAGGACCGGGACTCCGCTCTCAGGAAGTAAGTTTCCGAGAGAGTTTTCCTGTGAATAATAGAACGCGGATAAAAGGACTGATGTAGGCGCCCAACACCAACAACGAGAGAGCGGGTGCTATTACTGTACGATAAGGTGGCGTGCTTCCTTCCGCCTTGCTGCGATTGCACAGGGGACGGGTGTAACCCACGTACGCACTAGGCACCGACGCAACGGCCTCCTCAGTCCCGTGCCCTTTGTCTTTTAATCCGTACCACCCAGGCTTGCGGCCCACCGCACTCTCGGTGCGCGCTTGTCCGCCGGGGCAGGCGGGGTACCCAGCGAGAGCAGCGGCGGCGACGGCGGCGGGGCCCCCAAGACCGCGGAGGAGGTGAGGCATCACTAGTTCGGCGGCGGTTCAGATCACAGAAGAAGTCCCAATTCTGCGTTTTCTCGTTGTTGTACAATGTATATATGACCCCAGTCGGGGCAGCTCGCGTGTTCCTTTTGCTGAGGAGGAGGCGTGCGGTTCAGGTGGGGCGGGGGGGGGGGGGNGGGGGGGGGGGGGGGGGGGGGGGGGGGGGGGGGGGGGGGGGGTGGGGTGCACTGAAGTTAATGGTTTCAGTTGGAGACGGAAGCAACAAGTTTTCATGGTGTTTCTATGCAAAGGTTCTGATTGTCCCTCCCCTTTTCCCTTGCCCCGCCATCTTCCCCTCCTTTCCCGTGGCGTCACGTTTTCTCTCGTCGCTTGGGTGTTGAAAAAATCACCCGAAAAAGGTTGTGGATATCATTTTCGCCGACGAGCACGGGGCCGCCGCCGCCGCCGCCGGCATCGGCAGCGGCGCGCGAACGCCGTTACGCGTGTCGACGAGCCGCCTGTCCGAGGAGGGGCGTGCGCAACAACGGGGAGCAACGTTGCTGTCGTCGTCACCGTCGTCATCGTCCCCGGTGTCTTTGTTGTCGAAAGGGACGGCAGTCGCTGATGCTGCTGGTGGTGGCTCTGATGCTGCGTCGGGAGAGCGACCGACCACGGTACCACGACGCAGCCGACGAGAACGGGCTAAGGGAACTCCCGCGCCCCTCCCCGCGCCAGAGGAGGACGGTGCGTCGGACGGAGCGGCCGGAAAAGGAGGAGGAGGAGGAGGAGGGTTTGTCGCTGGCGCTCGCGGTACACCTCCCTCCGGCGATAACCCGCGGTACGACGGGGACAAGGGTTGTTGGGGCGATGATGATGAAGACGATGAAGACGACGACACAGGAGTGGGGAGGTTAATTCGTCGTCGGAGTGGCGGGGGCGCGAACGGCAATGGGCAGCGGTCGACGCCGGGCGGAGACGGGAGTAGGGCTAGGCGTGGGAGGACGCTGTGGGCTATCGCTCAGGGGGCGGACGAGCTGAGCCAGTCCGATTTCGTGACGGGAGTGTTCGCAGACATCAGGGCCAACTCCACCGGTGGCGTGGGAGGCGGGGCGGGTGGGAAGCCGCACGCCGCCAAGCCGGGACGTCGGGCGGCAGTGACGGCTGCGGCGTACGGTGACGCGAGGTTGTACAACCGCCGCGTTGTGTCTTCCGCCGCTGCTTCTCCTTCGGCGTTGTCTTCAACCTTGTGCTCCGACCAAGGAGACACCGACGAAGGAATGGGCGGGGGTCGGCCAGGGAAAAGCGAAAGGGAACAGAGCGCGAGCCAGCTTAACCCTTCAGATGAGAACGGTGGTAGTGGTGGTGATGGTGACGACGCCGTTGATGACGTCATTCAGCTGCTGTCGCAAACGCTGTCGCAAGCTTCAGTGTCGGGTGGTGGCGGAGGGACAGCCTCGGCACAGAACGGAGGACAGGAGAACGGGGGCAAAAAGCAAGAGGAGGAGGAGGAGGAGGCGGAGAGGTTCGCCGCTAGGCACATCGCGCGGGCGCCGGTGTCGTCTCTCTCCGGGCTCTTCCCCAACTGGAAAGAGAACGTCGGTTTCGTGTTCCGGCAGGGAGCGGCGGAGCTCCAGGAAGCACTGCAGGGCATCGTAACCGCGTTGTCCGAGGAGGAGGAGAAAGAGGTGACGGTCGCAGGCGGGGGAGGAGGAGGAGGGGGG